AGAGAGGAAGGGAGAAAGAGAGAGAGATAGAAACATCAATGATGAGAGAGAATCATGGATTGGATGCCTCCTGCACGCCCCCTACTGGGAATCAAGCCCGCGACCTGGGCATGTGCCCTTGATCGGAATTGGACCTGGGAACCTTCAGTCAGCAAGCTGACACTCTATCCACTAAGCCAAACCAGCTAGGGCTCCTTATATATTTTGGATATTAACCCTTTATCAGATGTATCATTGCCAAATATGTTCTCCCTCAGGGTGGGGCAATTGCTTCCCCCCAGGCAGAAGCTGCCTCAATGGTAAAGATCTGCAGGAAAAAGATGTCCTCCACTGACTGCGTGAGGGAATGACTCAGCACAGGAAACCGGGGTGTCTGCCTTCTGAGCTCTAAACCCTGAGCCCCCAACCCTGGCTTCTGCTCACACAGCTCCAGTCCACTCTGCCCTCCTTCTGCCTGAGCCCAAGCTGAGTGGCTGCATGTGAAAATTTTCTTTTAAAGTACATTTTATTGATTTTTTACAGAGAGGAAGGGAGAAGGATAGAGAGTTAGAAACATCGATGAGAGAGAAACATCGATCAGCTGCCTCCTGCACACCCCCGGATGTGCCCGCAACCAAGGTACATGCCCTTGACCGGAATCGAACCTGGAACCCTTCAGTCTGCAGGCTGATGCTCTATCCACTGAGCCAATCCGGTTAGGGCTGCATGTGAAATTTTATGTGTTGGCCCTTTAAGAGGGTGCCAGCTGTCTCTCCCTGGCAGATAGCACCCCCTGCTTTTCACAGCCAGATGTTACCTGGGCACCTGCCTCAGATCTGGAGCTTTCTGCTGGGGAGCCCAGCTTGGGGCTTAGACCCCAGAGTGCTCAGTGGCAACCCCCACAGCTGAGATAGCTCTCGGGAACTTCAGCTGCGGCCTGTGGGGCCCCGCCAGCCCTTTCGCGCCTCCGCCCCTCCTACCAGAATCATTGATTGGCTGCCTCCTGCACGCCCCACACTGGGCACGTGTCCTGACTGGGAATTGAACTGTGACCTCTTGGTTTATAGATCGACCCTCAACCATTGAGCCACATCAGCTGGGCTAGGCTCTCCCTTTTAAAGGAACAAGTGTCAGAGGATTTGTAGACATACAGAGATGGGCAAAAGTAGGTTAAGAATAATAACAAATAGCACAGTAATGAATAAATACTTAATAATACAGAGAATAGACTGTTTAGCGTACTCACAACTATATAGCTACCTTTGCCCACCCCCTGTATTTTAAAACCACCACACCAACAAGAGTTGCAAGATTCAAGGATGCTAATTAAATTATTGAAAACAGGACATGTTTTGGAGGTGAAAATCCACTTAGGAAAGAACAAGTGTTAATTGGAAATTCTGAAAGAGATCAGGAATTTAAATTTACATGGGACCTGAAGTCCTAAATCATTAACATAGCCATTCTTGAACTTCCTGCAGTAAAAAACTTCTGAACAAAAGAACTTTTGAAAGAAAACTTCTATTGCTGCTGCTGCAATTAGGAGAATAGATTCAAATATATTTGAATCAAGAATAAGCAATTTAGAGGTCATATCCAATGTTTTAACTTGTATCCTTCCAAGTTAACTTTTCTTTTTTTAAGCCTCTGAATTTTCTGAGTGTTGCAATGCCCCAACGTGACCAAGTGGGTCAAATTCCATCTCCAGTCTTCACATCTTTTTTTTTTCTTTTTCTGAAGGTTTATATTCATCTCTATTCTGTCTGAAAGCAAGATATCATGACCTAATTGCCTAAGAATTTATTTCCAAATAGATGTTGACAAAGTCTGAAAGTCTCAGAAAGACAAGACAGATCATATTCATTCCTTTTATTGAAGTTTTTTTTAAAATTAAAAAACAACCATGAAACAACAAACTATGATCCCCAAAGAACTTTCCTTTGTGGCACCTGGGGTATCCGGTCAATCAACAAGCATGTCTTGAACATACGATAAAAATAAGAGGTTCTCTAGGACTCATACATTTGGGAGCTAAACAGAAAACAGATGAGGATAAATACAATAATCACAAAAGTGGGATTGAGGGAGAGGAATGATCTGAGGCTACATCCAGGCAGTTCCATGCGATGAGATGGATTTATGAAGGAAAATGTCCTAGAAAAGATAAGCCTTCCCCTGGAACTTAAATTATATTCTCTTTGGGGGGAATTGGGCAAAGGCTGGGAGATAAGAGAAGAAAGACTGACTGTCTGGGGCTCGATCGCCCGGGGTAGGCCTGAGTATAGTTGGGGATGAGATTGGACGGGTAGGGAGGGGATAGTGAGTAAGATGGATTTGAACAAACTGAGCTGCAAAGAGTTTGGTGTGGTTGGAGCAAATCCTTTGCAAGAAATAAATTTTTTTCCAGTAAACTGCTTCTCAAAACAAGACAAAACAACAACTTTTTCCTATTAATAGACTCTTAGAAAGCTAGATCTGTTCTATGGACCTTGTAGGGAGATGTGGGTCTAAGGTCCTACCTCACCTTCCAGGGCACCGTCCAAGCACCATTAAGACTAAAAGTCCCCCCACCCCCAAATAAAAAATAAAAGCCCGGCCTGTGTGGCTCAGTGGTTGAGTGTCAACCTATGAACCAAGAGGTCACGGTTCAATTCCCATCAGGGCACATGCCTGGGTTACAGGCTCGATCCCCAGGGTGGGGTGTGCAGGAGGCAGCCGATCAATGATTGCCTCTCATCATTGATGTTTCTATCTCTCTCTCTCCCTCTCCCTTCCTCTCTCTGAAATCAATAAAAACATATTTAAAAAATAAACATTAAAAAAAGACTAAAGACCCACCAACTGTATATGGAGGAAAGGCCAGAGAGAGGCCGGTGACTGACTCACTGACTGACTGATTGATTCATTCAACAAGCTCACAGTGAACGCCTTTGGGTTGGAAAGGCAAGTTGGATTAATGTTCATGGGGTGGGACAAGATGGCAGGCAAGGCTCCATTTATTCAGCATAAGTGTCATTTCTCTCTCTCTTTCTCTGTGTAGGAAAAGTTATTGAAAGACTTTCCACCAGCACGTATTGTGATCCTGCTATGTATGCGTCAGGCACTGTGCTAGGTAGGGGCCCGGGATACTGAAATGACTGAAACATCCTATGGACAATGTGACAACAAACTTAAATAGTTCCTCTCCCGCTTCTGACTTCTGCTTTGCCAAAGGGGGAGCGATTTCTCCTGGAACGGAGAGTACAAATGTGCAGCAGGTGAGCCGACTCCTATGTGCTTTCCAGCTGTTGCACCAGCTGTGTCACAATGACAGCGGCCCCCACCTGTCTGACTCCCGCCCCCCCACCCCCCCCCATGTCGGAACCAAGTTATTTTTAGACTCCTGTCATGGTGGAGGAAGTTCTTGAGCACTGAATTTGGAACCAAATGCAGTCCAGTTTCTGGAAACCATGTCCGAGGTGGCTAGTTCAGCAACAACGGACACAACATGAAAAAGGCAGCCATTGTCAGGGGACGTCCCAGCTGCTGTCCGTGGAGGAGGAGGCAGGTCTCTCACTCCAGAGGGGATGAGGAACTTGGACACAGCGAGGGACCGACCCAAAGTCATCTGACGACATAGGGGACAAGCCAGGGCTGCTCAAATCTCTTGGCTCTGAACCCACGCTCTCCTTACGAAGCCAGCCATGACATAACCCTCCAAACCAGTGCAGACTGCTCTCTCCCTCAGCCAGAGGCCTGCTGGCTGCGCGGCTCCTGCATACACACCCTCATGGTTCCTGGTGGTCGACACTCATCACCCTCTGACTTCATTTTCCTCCCCCCTTTGCCGAATGGCTGCTGCCCAGAGCCAACATCTCTTTCCCAAAAACGGAACGTGCCAGAAGGGATTCTGGAAACGGCCTTGATATCTGTCAGGAGCCAGATGATTCACAGCAATGAACCAACACACATCACAGGGATGCCTGATCGGATTACCAATTAGCCACCTCCACCTCTGGAAGGTGCTCGGAAGGAGGAGAAAAGGTGGTGTTTAGTTTGGGCAAATACCAAAAGGGCTTTATCTTTCTCATCAAGGCATCAGCACGGCCCATTAGCCCTCCTCCGAGCCATTCCACGGGACTTCTCTCTCCAGATGCTCAGCAAGAGGAAACTTGTTGTGCAAACATTGGGTTATTATGTCTGAGCTACAGAAGCGCCTCTGTGTCAGCGAGAGGGAGAAACTGGCTGACTCGCGTCTGTGTTTAATGATGTCTCTGCTGCCGGGAAGTTTTGGAAGCTGCAGGGAAAGCGTTTCCCTGTGAAAAGGAGGCTGACCTGGGATTTACCATCTTACCTTCGCCCGACAGGAGCGTCTCTCCTTGGGTCGGCCCTGGGAGGGACAGGCAGACGTCTCCTCCGTGGACCCAGCAACAAGGGTCCCAGAGAGGGGTCTCTGGACTCCTCTTGAAAATAAGCCCACGCATGAGCAGTGTTCGCCCCAGGGCAGGGAGGGCGGCTGAGCCTGGCCTGTGCTGCCTGGATCTGGTGGGAAAAGGCGGCTGTGCTCAGAGCCCGCCGGAGTCCAAGGTCAGCCCTGTGCCTGGGATTCGAGAGCAGGACCCTTGTTTGGTGCCTGTCCTCTGGGGGTGAAGGAGGGATGAACAGAGCGGGGCTGCCACTAGCTTATACCATGATTTTGTGAGTCTGGAAAGCAGCCCATAGGGGCCAGGCGAGACGGCGAGGGGCACCTTGCGTGTGTAGCTCAGCCCTGGGCACAGGGTTGGTGATTCCAGCCTCTGCTCCCTCTCCTCCAGGCCTTCAGACCAATGCTGGGGCTGCTCAGTGACTCCAGGGGCTCAGGCCAAGGGGAGAGGAAGCTGGATTCCCTCAGTTGCTTAGAAAGATGGAAGGTGCTTGTTTACCCTCACCTTCCCCATTCTCCAAGGCAAAGGGTCAGGGGTAGAGTTGGCCACCAGCGAAGTAGACGTTTACAAGTACACAAGCACACACACATATACACAGAGGCATGGCGTGCATGAACGAAGACACAAACACTCACATATTTATACAGAGATGTGCACACATGCTCACACACACGTATATAGGCATACCCACAAGGCAAGCATGCACCCCACATGCAGGCATGCATGCATGTACATATGTGTGCCACACATGAACAAGGACATACACATCAATGCATACACCTTGTTTGCAGACATGCATGCATACCTGCATAACTATACACATGCATACACAGGTATGCATGAATGCACAGAAACACACAATGCACCCACATAAGCATGTTAGCATGTGCCTTCATACATGTGCCCTCATCCACACCTTCACTTATATACACCCAACCTACACACTTGAGCTTTCAGGCTGCACTCTTGTCATAGTCATGGCTCTGGCATTCATTCTAGAGATTCGCCCTTTATAAGGATGGCTGGGTAAGAGAGAGTGTGTGCTGTGTGTGCCTGTGTGTGTGTGTGCCTGAGTGTGTGTGTGCCTGAGTGTGTGCGCCTGTGTGTGTGTGTGTGGGGGGGTGTGTGATTTGTCCTGGACTATACAGCCTCCCAGGGGTGCCCTTGCTGCTGTCATGTGGTAGCCAGTGTTTGGCTCATTTGTATCAAAACTGAGAAAGCACCACTGCCCTGCGAGTGTAAAGGGAGGGGATTGCAACAGAAGGGCTCTGTCTCTGAAATGGTTTGTAAGTGACAACCATGTCTTGGGGGAAAAGAGAGAGAGCGTTGGAGGGAGGAATGGAACTTAATTCTGCCCATTTCAGCCTTAAGCAGGGAAGCTGTAAACACAATGGAGTTATGTGTTTAATTGTGGACCTATGTGTTTAATTTATGCTTATAAGATGTCAAGTATATATGCTCGGAGGGGTGTGGAGGGGGGGCGAGGACAAGGGCGAGGCAGAGGGAGAGGAGGAGGGAGAGAGAGAAAGGGAGAGAAAGAGAGAGAGAGAGAGAGAGAGAGAGAGAGAGAGAGAGAGAGAGAGTTAAATAGAGGCATCTGTCTCTGGGCGAGCATGAGCTGACAATGGTGAGGATGAAAGACGTGGGAGCTGTTGTTGCCTTGGTGGCTCTCAGTCCCCACGTGCCTCAGAGTGTCTCCCGCATCCCTGAGTGTGATTCCGCCGTTAACAGATGCTTTTTTCACATTGTCTGCCGCCCAAGCACACACCACCTCCTTCATCTGGCGCTCAACCGGGGAGAGCAGCCCAAGGCTGCGAAGAGGGAGGGAGAGCTGGCTGGGCTGCAATTTCTAGAAAATGGCTTGTCTGTCTCCAGCCTGGCACCTCCCACTGGGATTTTCAGGGGCAATTTGGACTCGAAGCAATTTTAGCTTTATGAGCTGCTTTTAGATCAAAGCCCTGTGGAAGCGGGTACTGTACTGTCTTTGCATTGTTGCTCTTGTAGAAGCATCTTAGTCTCTGAGACTGTCAGCTCTTAAGAGTGAGAACTAAGTCACAGAGGGTGTGGCCTGGCCCTACCTCACCCTTCAATAGAAATTGGAGTCCTTCTCTCTCTGTGCACAGGCCTTGGCTCTGCCCTGGGCGGAGGCTGCCTTCTCCCGGGGTCTACCCACCCCCCTAGCATCACCAGGCTCCCTGGCCCCCCGGGGGGTTATGGCTTGGGGCTGAGTCCGTCTGGTAGACCCAGTAGCGTGTCTCCCTGAGGAGTGCAGGGAGCTGTGTCATTGCACGCTGCCGCCAGGCGTGAGGAGAGTGTAGGGCAGCTTGGCAGTACGTGCTGGTGCAGCAAACCCCTAAACATGTACTGACTCTAGGAAAACAGGGTGAACATGAATCTCACTGACATTTTGGAAACACGGCCGATTCCCCCTTTCCATGGGGTGGTGTTCAGACGGCTTACATCACAGTTGCCTGGTGGCCCTGCAAGATGGTTAAAATGAGCCCAAAGCCACAGACAAGCCAAGCTGGGGGCATCCAGGCCCCACCGGGGTGATTACCTTGTCCTTCTGCTGGGAGTGCGCCCCTGGAACGGCTCACATTCGGGCGGCCTGCGGGGCTGCTGTGGCCTGACGTCCTCAGGCCGTCCGGGCCCCCCTGGCCCTCTGGACTTTTTCTTCCCTCGTTCAGGGACAGTGGTGGGGTCACCTTCTCTGCTGCGGTGTCTCCATCTTCAAAAGCACAAGGAGAACAAGCATGAGTGAGAGAACTTTTGAGTCAGCAAGAAAGAGAGGCAACCTCTTTTCTAACCTGGTTGATGGCCCCTAGGGTGCAGGTTGGTTTATTCCCCTTGTTCTCGAGTTTGTCCCTCTTCCAGCCCTGCTAAGGGGCAGAGGCCAGGTAACTCCCCTGGCCAAGGTGAAGTTCCTCTTGGCTCGAAGAGTGGCCTTTCTTCGGGAACAGGGAGGATCTGAGCTGTGGTGCTTGTTATTCTCGCTCTACTGATGGCCTCCTGATACCCAGGAAAGACCAGAGAGCCTGCAGGGTCCTCCCAGCCCCGAGTCTGCCGGTTCTTACTGGAGGAAGCCCCGTTTTAGAACTCATGGGGTCATTGGCTATGAGGTCCAACCACAGAGCAATTTCCCTAAGCCAAACCAACGCTCACATGGCTCCTCAAGGTCGTAGGGTACAAAGTAGCACCTCCCGAGGGTAGGAAGAGGGCAATGGGGTTGATGACAATGGCCCATCTCTGTTCTTTCTCTAACTCTCTCTTAAAACTAGAAGGGACTGCTCTAAGTCTTTAAAAAATATTTTTACTGATTTTAGAGAGAGGAAGGGAGAGGGGGAGAGAAACATCGATCGGCTGCCTTCTGCATGTCCCCTAGCCTGCAACCTGGGCTTGTGCCCTGACCAGGAATCAAACCGGCAACCTCCCAGTGCATGGGGCAATGCTCAATCAACTGAGCCACACCGGTCAGGGCCCAGGTAATCCAAGTTATGGAGACCTTGTCCTAATCTCATTCCGTGAGCGTGGTCTTTATTTCATGTTCAACACTCTGCTGCTGTGTGTGTAAAGCTGGCTTCCCACACAGTCTCCAAGTATCAAAAGCTACTTGATCAATACAAAGGGCAAAAGGGCATCTTTACGTTGGAGAAATCTAGCCTCCTTCGACCAAATGATAAAATTTAACATCACCTGTAATGGGACAAGCTATAACAAAGGAAGTAAGTGCAAAGGGATATTTTGTGTCCCTTGGTGTGATACCCTGAGGAGGACACGTCACCTGCTATTCTTGCCAAAAACGTTTGACCAGAATCTAATCACAAGGAGGCAGACACATCTAAATCGAGGACCATTCTGTAAAGCAACCAGCCTATTCTCTTCAAAAATGTCCATGTCGATGGGCTTGGAAGACAACCCCAAGCTCTGCGTGAAAATGCAACAAGGTATGAGGGACGTCTTAGGCTGGCTTCCCCCTGGCAGGGTGGCAGAGGAGGGACAAGCTCCAGACACTCGGTCCTGCTGGACACAGCAGCTCAAAACAAGGGGAGGGCGGTGCGAGGTGAGCCATGCCCAAGACACATGTCACCGGCGTTGCCGTGGCTCGGGCTGTGCACCTGAAGGCGTGGCCCGCCGCTGGAAAGCTCCTTTCTCACCTGTTTGCAGACAGCAACCCTTGCCCATATTTGATTTTTTTTTTAAAGAAAACTTTATAGTCTTTAGGATGATTGACTCTCACTTAACAGATAGAATAAATAAGCCCCTGCCCCAATAATTAAAGGAAATTCTCAAAACCAAAATGTCTCAAGAAGGTCCTGGCCTGGGTCCGTCGTTCTGTTTATTCTAAAAAGCAGCGAGTGCAGTGTAACGAGTAAGAGGGACGGAGGTCCTGGCACCAGAAGGCCAGGCTCCAATCCCAGCTGGGCCACTGCGAGTTGTGTGGCCCCAAACAAATGGCTTATCTCTCAGGCCTCCCGTGTTCTAATCTGTGAAAGGAGGGGAGGGTTGCTGTAAGGAGGAAATGAGATACGATGTGTTAAAAATGAAGGACAGCGCCCGGCACAGAGGAATTCAGAACGCCTGAAATATTAATGCCCACCCTCTACTCCTGATGGCCACTAGTCGGAGATCACCTGGTGCTTGTGATGCTGCCATCAGGCACTTGCTCTCTGGAAAGGAGGCTCAGTTTTCTGAGAAGGGGGAGCATTCTAAATACGGCCCGTTACTTCCCACCTATCCAACACATGCAAGTACACACCCATGTGTGTAATTCCAAATGTTCATAGGATGTATTGAAATATCAGAGTAAGGCTTTTATTATTGATACTAGAGACCCGGTGCATGAAATTTGTGCACGGGAGGAGAGGGGTCCCTCAGCCCGGCCTGCACCCTTTCGCAATCTGGGACCACTGGCTCTTAACCGCTTGCCTGCCTGCCTGCCTGATTGCCCCTAACCACTCTGCCTGCCTGCCTGATCGCCCCTAACCACTTGCCTTCCTGCTTGATGGCCCCTAACCGCCTCTGCCTCAGCCCCCTCGGCCGTGGCTTTGTCTGGAAGGACGTCCTGAAGATACTTCGGCTGTCCAGTCTAATTAGCATATTATGCTTTTATTATTATAGATTATGGACTTTTAAATGAGTAACTACATATTCCTAAACTGATTAGAAATGAAATTGTATTGGTTAAAAGCATAGGATAAACCATAGAGCATACAGCAAAGTTTTAATCAGTTTGGTGCTGTTTTATATCTGCGGCCAGAGATTATTAAGTATTAGTAGGGGGATGATCTAATGAGCAACTGATGAGCTAGGCACCAGGCTGGTTTTACCGCTGCGTGTTGGTTAAGGCAGCTGCTGGCCGAACAAAAGCCATCATCCAGTGGCCACCTCCCTCCCAGCCTCCTTCTCCATGGCTGAGGACCCTTGTGGGCCTCGCCTGGCTTCCCTCTGGCTGAGATGCCTGGGGATGCTGGAGAGTGGGAGTAGCTACCTTGAGGTGAGAGTGTGGCCCTGCCCATGTCCCCTGGGAGATGCACTGTGAACTCCGCCAGCCTTTCTGAGGACGCGTGCTTCAGGGGAGGCCGCCGGGGAGGACTGGGCTCTTCTGTTTCTGGTCCTGACTCAGCATGCGCAGCACCTGGGAGACGAGGAGGAAGCCAAGTTGTGGTGAACGCCTGTGGTTTTTGCCAGCTGCCTCTTTTTGGAGGGACCCATCTCTTCCCTGCTTGCACCATGTGGTTTGGGTGGAGCTGTGTCCATTCCCTCCATCCATGGATGGGCATGGGGCTGAAGCCTGGCTAAGGAGAGCACCTCATAGCCTTAGCCATAGTGACTGGGTCCAGGACACGTAACTCAATCAGAGGCCATTCTAGTACTTTTGCAAGAGCGTGTAGAGGCATAGCCTTTATTTTTAAAACTTTTTAAAACAGCACTGTGCAGTTTTAGTAACCATTCAAGTATAGTAGCATTTGGTAACATCAGGACAGAATTGGGATTTAAAAGTGTTTTCACAGAGCCAATACAGCCATTGACCCAGCACACCAAGTGTACCGAAGTAGAAAAGATACAAGAAAAATAGCTACATTAGAAAGGCCTCAACACTAGAAAAAGAGTAAAACAGTTTCAGTTTCTCCTCTTTATCCCCTAAAACAACATCATACAGTCTGGATCTACCTATGGTCCTACATCAGCTTCCTTTTGACTGGGGTTAACAGGTAGGCGGCCATCTTTACCTCCACATGGGGACAGCCTGCTTGCGAGGGAAGGCTAACAGAGGTGAGAGAGTCAGACAAATAGCGCCCAGATGACAATTTCTGAGGCCTGGATCCACCTGAGCCTGGAGTTTGTTCATCCTGGCACAACCCCCAACTCCGTGAGCAAATGCATTTCTTTTTTGCTTAAGACAGTTTGAGTTAGGTTTCTGAAACGTGTTCCTGGCCGGCCTGCGCTTCCTCAGGAGCACCCACCCACAGGGGACCTACCTCTTCTGTGCACTTTCTCCTTTGAGGGGTGCTGGGTGTGGAAATGAATCTCCACTGGGAAGACGAGGAGCTCTGCTGGGGGCTCTCTGGCTTTAAGTCGACTCTTCAGGGGGTCCAGGACTCCGGGTGGTTCTTGGGAGATAGGAGGTAATTTCAAGGTCTTTGAAGCCTGGAGAAAATTAAAAAACAAAACAAAGACCAACATGGCAGGCATTCAAACCCGGCTGCCTGCAGGGGACAAATGGCATTGATCTCACCGGATCTCTAGCACCAAGAGCTGCTGGTGGGCCCCCATGGCTGAGAAGTAAAGCTAACCAACCAGGGACCCGGGAATCTGACTAGAGTGGGAACTCAGCTCTGCCCTTGTTAATCCAGCCTCTGACTCTTCTCAGAAGTGTCAACGTGATCAATTCAAGAGCCTTTGAGAGGAAAGATAGTCTTTCTTTTTCTTGCAACTGGGGGAACTGAGCCAGATTGAAACGATATAGCTGAGATTTCTAAGTATGGAGAGGGAGAAATCTCAAAGATGGGAGAAAATCAAGGAGCAGAACATTAGTTATGCAACCATTTAGGTAAGAAAGAGCAGAAAAGAGGAATACACATTTGTGGTTGCTTACCTTACACAACCTCTCTAAGCCTCAATTTCTTCCTCTGTAAAATGGGAGTAATCATACTATCGACCTCAAAAAATTGCCATGAGGATTAAATGAGCTAGTGATGTGTAGTTACAATAGTGTTTGGAATTGGGTTCATTTCTATATTTCTTTGAGAGTAGACTTGTCTCTCATTAGACTTTAATACTCTATCTCGCCACTAGCAGAAAATCTATGTATCTCTATTCTTCTGTAATATGAGCTTAGCTAAAAAGAATCACTGTCTGTCAGAATCAGCCACAACTTTAGCCCAGTTTTTGTGGCCAAAAAAAAACCCAACCCCCAAATGGGCCCCAAATGGTGTGTGTGTGTGTGTGTGTACAGAGTCAGAAACTCCAGGAGTGGTACTTAGAGTCTCCTGTTTCCAATTATTCAGAAGTTGCCGAAAATTTCTTTTAGTTGCAGCTTTTAACAGGAGAACTTGGCTCTATGAAATGTATATGTGTGCTGAGTATTGGGGAGTTTAGTTTCACAGGAGGAAAAATAAAAACGTTCCTCACTTTTTTAATGCTCAAAAAGAGAAAAAGAATCAGAAACACACGCAGGCATCCTACATGTTTAGAGTTGAATAAGGAAGGAAATTCAACCCAATATATGCAGAGTTAATATTTATAATTTGGAGACAGTAAGAAAATGATTGATCAAATGCACGCACACACATAGGATCCTTATGTTCCTGGAGACCTTCACTGCCCCGGTCCCAGCTGCCCACCAACTGCCCCTTTCTGAATACTGACCTTGTGCGTTCTGTGTGACAAGGTTTGCATTGAGAAATCTACGTGGAAACTCAAATGATTTGTGTGAGGTAGGGCTGACAAGCCAAGCCTTAATTTCTTTATTCTAATTAAAAATTTACAGTTTCAATGTAGTGGAAAATATTGCTCTCCTCTGTAAACCATGCGCGTGGGTTGAGGGAAGGGACTCCTGTCTGCTGGGCTGGTTCAGTTCTGGGATGACCTGGTATGAGATTGGGGACGTGCCTCAGGCCTGCGGGGACTCTTGCAGGTCATGCCTGCTGCTTCCTCCTGGGAAGACAGAAGCCCTGCTCGGGTGGTTGGAAAGGTTAAGGTCAGGACACAGGAACTCAGAGAAAATCCTGTATAGACTGAAAACAGCCTCCCTCATTGGCACCAGAACCACCTGGAGTGCCCGTGGCTCCTCAAGGGCCACTTCAGATGACACGAGTCTCCACAATTAACTGCCCTTCCCAGTCGGACACAAGATACTTTCACCAAAACACATCACGTCTTTTCTTCCTTGCATTTGGCATATGAGGTTGGCGATATGATCCATCATGCAGACAAGGTCACTGAAACTCAGAGGGGGGGGGCGACCTGCTAAGTTCACACAGCTGCTTTGGGGTAGAGCATTCTGGGTCCCCTGTGGGTTCCCACTCAGCATAGGTGCCTCCAAACTACCCCAAACCCAGATAGAATTGCAAGGCAGGACCAGGCCAGAGACAGCGAAGGACATCGCTAAGGAAGAAGGTGTCCTTGACTCCTGAAGGGACTGATAAATCTGTAAATTCACTCTACATTTTCAAAGGTGACAGACCCTCCACTATGCAAAACCATTGCTCGATTCTAGATCTCTAGCATTTTCTGTTTCAAGTGGATCTATTGCTTACAAATTCAAATTCTGTCCTTTTTAAAAAAATATTTTTATTGATTTCAGAAAGGAAGGGAGAGGGAGAGAGAGATTGAACATCAATGATGAGAGAGAATCATTGGTCAGCTGCCTCCTGCATGCCCCACACTGGGGATTGAGCTTGCAACCCGGGTATGTGCCCTGATCGGGAATCGAACCATGACCTCTTGGTTCATAGGTCGATGCTCAACCACTGAGCCATGCTGGCTGGGCTCAAATTCTGTCCTTACTCATTTACAGATAATCCCCAGCCCCTTAGTAGAACAAAGGATTCTGTTGCCACTAGAGAGTGCAGTAACATCAAATGCTTTAAGGTACAATTAGGGGCAGCTAAAATTCCTTGGACTTCACTATTTTCAACATTTATCACTACAGCTTTTTTCCAGCTCCACATGGTGAGGTCAGAGTGGGTAGGGTCAGTTCTCTGTTTGAGACATCCCTCTGAGTCACCTTGTTCCTAAATGGAGATGAATCTTTTAAGTGCATGCTTGCACGGGTACACACACACACACAAACACACACACACACACACACACACACAGACACACAACCTTTTTCTTCTTCAGCTCCCCAGGTGTGTGTTTTTCTGAGTCAGTGGCAGAGGCCACAGGAGGGAAAACACATCTTTCAGCAGGAGGCTCCTGTGACAAGTGGCTGCTGCCGCCCATGTGGAGTTTCATGTTCCCTTGTTTGTCTGTAGAAACAGGATGGGAATGAGAATTTATTAGTTGCAGGTATGGGGAGGGACAAGTTGGCTTTCAACTGCTATCATTTTGGGGTTAATGGGAAGAGGCAAAGAGAATGCTGGCGCACTGAGACAGCCATGGCTTTGGATGAGGTGGGTTCAGGGAGCCCTCATCTCGTAATCTGGTTGGGGTCTTGCTGGCTGAGTGAGGTGATAGAATGGTAATAATAATAATAATTGTTGATATATATTGAGTGCTAAATATGGAACAAGAATTGCTCAAAGTATTTTACATACATTAACTCAATCCCCACAGTAGACTTATGGAGGTATTATCATTATCCCCAATCTTCAGATGAGGAAACTGAGCCTCAGAAGGATTAAATAACATGCCCAAGATCATAGCTAGAAAAGGAAGGGGGGGGTAATTTGAACCCAGGCAGTCTGATTGCAGAATGTTTGCCATTGAGTTCTAGACAAAGAGCCTGTCAGTCTCATTCCTACCTCCCATTGAACTTTGGCTGTTATTATTATTATTAAATATGTTTTTATTGATTTTAGAGAGAGAGGAAGGGAGAAGGAGAGAGATAGAAACATCAATGAGATAATCATCAGCATTGATTGGCTGCCTCCTGCATGTCCCCACTGGGGATCGAGCCTGCAACCCAGGCATGTACCCTGACCGGGAATTGAACTGGTGACCTCCTGGTGCATAGGTCGACGCTCAACCACTGAGCCACATCGACCGGGCTTGACTGTTATTTCTTTTTTTTAATTATTTATTATTGAAAGTATTACATATATCCCCTTTCCCCCCACTGACCCCTTTTGCCCTGCCCCTTGACTGTTATTTTCTAAGGTGAGTGGCATGAGGAAGTGACACTCAGCTGGCCTCAGTGTTCTCAAGTGAACTTTGCATGATTAGGTTCACTCAGATTTAGAAGCAAGACATTTGGCTTCTTACCGCTGAGATCTGCCTCCCAATTGGGGAAGGAGTTGCCATAGAATGTAATGTGGGGTTTGTCACTCATGAGCCAAGGGTGATCAATGTGGGCATGCTCAAAGGCCCTCCTGGAGGTTTGCTGTGTTTTTTCATTGTGGTTTTCTTTTGAAACCTGCATACGATGGTGGTTCTCTATCGACGTGTCCTAGGGAGAGACAGACACACATTTCTGTCAACAGGCTTTGTAAAGGAGCAGAGCAGGCTCCTGTAACAGTCAGAACTTGTGGCTAGACTTGTGGTTCCAAGGAAGAAATCTCCCCTGTAGCTGGGGAAGAAAAACATGGTTATAAAAGCAAGATCTCTAATGCTGTTTGTTACAATAAGACATTTTATTATGGATGAGAGAAAGAATGACATTTAACCATGCTTGACATTTGACCTATAGCATTCTTCTCCTTCTCCTCCTCCTTCTTCTTTTCTATGCAAAATAATGTCTGTCTTTCTGCATCACTGGGTAGTGGTGCTCATCAGAATTTCCTAATAACATAAAGACAAAGGCAAGTCTATATATTTGATCAGATGTCAAAGGAATGGGAGGTGGACTATTAGGTGACCCTTAGTTGTAGCTTCTGCTGGCTTTTTGCTGTATGCTGTTGACCAATATGAGGCAGGTGGACTTTTGTGAGAGGATAGTATTTGGTGGCTAGAACCTCGTTAGAGCATTTCTTCTTGAATGAAATACACAACAGATAAGGGAGTAGGGGAGGTAATACAGAGAAGCTACTCTTTGCAGCTCAGAAGGAAGCCCATGTATGCATTCAAGAAGCCCATGTTATCCTCTAGCTGTGGGTAGCAGCTAATGTGGTCATCCAGAATAAACACTGGACCACGGCAGCGTTTTCCTGTTACAGCCCCAAAAACTTCGGATAGGGATTCACCAGATCCAAAGGCTCCAGATAAAATGAATGGAAACAGTTCTAGAGGCAAGAGCTCCCACCCAGCATCTTCTAAATTTCTTCCGCTGGTTGATATACTGTAAGAGACTATTGATAACTAAGTTCCCATCATTGTTGCGTATCCTTGCCCACATGTCCCATAGCTAGCTCACTCTCCGAGGGTTGGTGTAAGGCCCAAAGACTGGGGTGAGACCTTGAGAAAATACAAAGAAGTTCATCAGTCGTGTGAGAATGGGTGACAGTCTGTTGGAAAGCCATGTAAAAGCACCACTACCTTCGGATTTCCATCTATACCCACAGGGTCTTGATAGAAGATGCACAGTCCCTTGTAGGTAAAAAATTTGCCTGACGACTTCCATGAGTGAGACCAGGGGAAAGCTTGGAGTGGGCAGGATGTGTGGATAGGACACAGCAGGGGAATGGCCAAGAGCCCCACCTTTACCTACCTGGGCTACAAGACTCCATGTTTGGGGGAACAAGTGGGGCATGCCAACAGTGCAAAAATAAATAAATAAAAATAAAAATGAAATAGTAGTATCATTGACTTTATCCACCATGAAATTCCTCTTTCCTCTCCACTTCCATTATGTGGCATTCTCCCCCTTGCCTGTTCTCATTGGCATCTGACACATTTATTCAACTCAAACACATTTATTTAAGATAGTTGCATGTGTTGTCTATGTTGCTCTGAACCAGTCATTTTGTATACACACACACACACACACACACACACACACACGCCTTAGACTTCAGAAAGCATTTTTACATTTTAACCCATTTAATTCTCAGTAACCTTGTGAGATATGTATGATGACAGCTCCATTTCCCAGAATAGGTCATTCAGGCTCAAAATTAATTAAATTTCCTGGACAGGCTCACCACAACTAGGAAGATATAGGACTTGAATCAAGACTTTTCCAATTCTGCGGCCAAGAGCTTTTTTTTTCTTCTTCTAGAGACTACAGCTAGATGAGGTGAACAGTCTAGGAAAGATCTGTGATTAAATAAGTTTGGAAACCCATGAGTTAAAGTTAAACTGGCTACTTTACCTACAGAATTTCTCAAAAATGGTCCATAGTTAAGTGTGCACTGTGCCTCTCCACGAGGAGAAGATGGTATGCAGCATTTCCCAAATATATTTGGCCATGAAACCCTTTTAATTTTTCATGGAGTATCTGGCAGTGGTAGGGCTCTACAGGTGACACTTTGGGAAACAGCGGTCAATAGGTTCAAAGGACTCTTCTCTGGAGGACCCCAAGAAATGGCGAAGGGAGGGTGCATTCCTCTGAAGTCAAGAAGAGCAATGACAGAGGGGAGTCCATTAGAAATGGTACCTCTGCCTGGGTTTCATCTTCCTACCAGAGCTGCTTCCTGAGTGGCGGCAAGTGAGTCCCCTGATGGCTGTGGTTCTTGGCAACTGAGCCGTGGTCCCTGGGTCCACCAGTCCCAGCTTCCCATTCATCGAGCCCTACCGACCCACAAAGGTGAACTGTAGGTCAGTTTTGTAACACTGGGGATTGACACAGTCTTGTTCGCTGCCTGTCTTCTTGCTTTTCTGAGCAAAAGTGTTGATCAAGGCCCTTGTTGCTCCTGCCTCATTTCTGCTAGTGCCAGCCAGGTTTGAGGAACAGAACTGCCCTTCCTCAAGGGTTGAGTCTTCCTTTCTTGGACTCAGTTTCCTCCTCTGTATAATGGGGATACTGACTTCTTGCCCTCACTTCTTTGCAGAGTTGTAGGGAGCTCAAATCAGATCATGAATGTGACCAAGCCCTCTGTAAACTGCGAGGGACTAGTGAATGACAGGGGTGTGATTATGGTAGAGGGACCTGCAGCCCTGCTCTGTTGTCGTTGAGACACTGGGTCTGAAGCCCTTGATTTCCTGGCTGTCTGCTGGTTGTTTACTTGTGGAAAAACCTCTGCCAAGAGCACTGTGGTGGGTTGGCTGTTTAGCTCTCCAAACTTACCCTGTCTGCACAACCCTCAGGAAGAATCTGAGTCAACAGATGACTCTGGCATGGTTAACGAATCTTTCATCGATGGTTTAAAGGGTCCTGCAGCTATTTTCACCACTTACTCAAAGTAGATTTATTGCTGAAACAGTCTGGCAAACCTTTGTATGGAGCTGCTTTCGTAACACCTCCACTCTCCGCATGCAGCTGGGTGGAACAATGTGGGGTTGTCTTTCAACCAGGGGCTCTGGAAGCCTTCAGAATCTCTGTGTGTGTTGGGGCGCCGGACTTCTGGAGGCTCCCAGCCAGCTTCACCTTCCCTCTATCCTCTCCAACCTTCGTCATGCCCATCCTTGCTGCTGTTGGGTCCAGAGCCCATGCCCACTTGTGGGGCTACTCCCTCCCTACAGCTCTCCGGCCTCTGGCCATGGGCTCCTAGGCTACTTTGGGGCTGCGCTGATGCTGAGAGTGTTGGTGGAACAGATACAGACTCAGGCTCAGGTTCAGAGGGGTCTACTCAGGTTTTTGTGGCCCAGCGAAGCCTGAGGAGGCCCAAGGCCACCTCAATCTGAGGAGGCCCAAGGCCACATTAGGCCTGCCCCCAAGAAGACCTCAACTCCTTACAGTGTGGCACTAAAGACCGTTTTGTGTGTTCGACAATGATCCTTTGGGGTTAAGCCCAAAGGACTTATTTTTTCAAGTCCATCCTTCCTGATCATGTTAACCTAGAACCACATTTCTGAGGGTAAAGGAAGTAAAACTTGGGGCAAATGGCTACACCCCTATGTCGGACTCTAAGTTGGGGGAGGGGATATTGTGGGTCAGTGAATATAAAGAGGCATTCTTCCCTTTGGCTGTCTCCCCGGTGATTTTGATTATATGACTCAATCTATGTGAGGGAAACCAAGATTCTTCTCAGTAAACATCAGCGCTGGCTCATTTGTTTATGCTTAGTAGAAACAGGTTTGTAAGGAAAATATAAGAAGGTTCAGTTTTGAGAGGAGAGCACAAAACTTGGTCTCTCTATATTTCAAATATGGATTCAGATTACCTGAATAATGTGAATTGTGGTAGCAATTTAGAGCTCTTAGAAAGCTTTTTTTTTTACCTTCTCTCCTGTGATTTTTTCACAACAACCCAGAGAGGGTGGAATGCATATACCGTTGCTCGCATTTTGCAGATGAGCAAACTAAGGATGCAGGGAGCATAAATGACTTAGTCAACATCACATTGTTGGGGGATCTGAGATTTGTAGCCAGGACTTTTGCTACTTTTCCAAATAGAGTATCTGGCAAAGAGAGGGAGGCCAAGGGGGAAATGACGTTAAAACCAATAAAACCGTCAGTCAAAGTTCAAGTTACAGGCCGAATTGTTCTTATTTCTTAACAAATTGACTTTTGGTCCTGTGATCATGGGCAATTGGGCAATTGGGCATTGCAGTTAATTAGTAACTATGTTTTAAAAATACAAGCTGGGGAGGTCTATAACATTTCTTGAGCACTTACTATGTGCCAGATACTGCATTATCCCCTTTAACTCCCACACCTAATCCTGTGAGGTAAAGGTAGGAATGGTCATCTCCATTTTATACATGAGGAAAACTGAGGCCCAGAGAGGTCAGATGGCTTGGAATCTGGCTCCAATAGCCAACATATTTAATCACTTATCTTATGTTGTCTCATTGTTTTCTGCCTGATTGTATCTTCCTTAATGGACAATGTTCAAACCCAAGACTAGTGTTGTTATCTCTAAGACCTCTAATTGAGTGACCATTATTTCTACCAATAACTACTCATCAGGATACACCAAGCATCCTGTGCTGCTCCAAAAACAGTCACCTTAATGTACCAAAGAATGTGAGGCCACACCTTGCAGGTGTACCTCCAAACACCATCTCCTGCCTGTCTTCCCTCCATTTTGGATTCTACAAGGTACATGTTGATTATATGGTCTCAAATATTTGGATTTTAACACCTTAAAATGGGGTTTCCCAAAATAAGGTCTAGGGGTTCTGGGTTTCATTGTCCTCATCTGTAAAATGAGGGTGTTAGTTAGTCTAGATCAGCACTGTCTGTACTTTCTGCAACGATAGAATATTCTATATGTGTTGTCCAATATAGTAACCATTGGTTGCATGTGGCTACTGAGCCCTTGAAATGTCAGTAGTGCAACTGTGAAACTGAGTTTTAAAATTTTAGTTTAACTAATTTACATCTAAATGGCCACAGGTAGCTAATGGCTACTGTATTGGACAGTGCAGGTCTAGACTCTAGATTTTAGATGATTTCTTAAGTCTGTTCCATCTAACATTCCTTAATCTGGTGGTTTTGTGGCAATATCCTAAGAAAGAGTACAGGCTTTGGAGGCAGAATTCTCTATTGCAATGACTGTTCTTTTTCTTGCTAGGTGTATATCTTGAGCAAGTCACTTAACCTCTTTGAGTTTCTGTTTGCTCATCTCTGTAATGAACATAATAAGACTTACCTCATGACTGGACTGGAAATTACTGTGAGCTGTCCCTAATCTGTTCAGTACTATAGGGATTTTACTTGTCAATATTATTCTTGAGAACTTGAAGTATTAAAAGAGCCAGAAGTTGCCTTTGCTAAGGGAGATGGGAAAGATAACTGGATAGCACTAATGGACAAAGAATAGGGCCTTGGCTAGTACTAGAGTTTGTGAGAAAAGACAAGGCAAGAAGAAAAGCCTACCACAAAGTTAATGTTTCTGAAATTAAAAAGAACATGTCCACAAACAATGGTAATGCCTAACCAATCCCTGTCCTTGGAAAAGGATCTGCTCTGGATAAGCTGAGAATCTAGTTTAGCAAATGAGTGGAGAAGAAAATGGCAGGTTCTCAGAGCCTCGTGCCATTAACTATCCCCGCTATACATCTCCCTTGAGTTTTGATTCCAGCACCAGGGAATTTGTTCATAACCTGATCCCCATGTATTTCATCTACAGGAAATATGCTGGTCAGGCAATTGTACTTCTCTTTGTAAACTAATACTCTAGCCTATACGTCAGTCTCTATGCACTTTGTTAATATGCACCGACTTCTCTGAGACCAGTTGATTCAGGGGCACAACTGAAGAGATTGAGTTTCTGGGCCATCCATGTCTTGGGAATGGTGAACTCACCCAGATAATGCTCCTGTGTTGGACCTTCTTCCCTTCCCCAGATGGCAGCCCACTTTGCCACTGCATTAAGCCCTCTTTCTTCAAAAACTCTACTATCTTCAGTTAATATTCTTAGACTTTGATGGCCTAGGATGTAAAAACACTGAACAATGGACTGCAATATTTCCATTTTGGGGGTGGATCACCATTGTACACCTAAGAGATCAAGTGGCTTCCCTAACTGATGCCATATACCTGATCCAGAAGTCGCCTTTACTAAGGGGGATGGGAAAAGATAACTGGGTAGCACTGATGCACAAAGAATAGGGCCTTGGCTAGTGCCAGAGTTTGTGAGAAAAGACTATGACAATCAAGCATGAAGAATGTTCAGTTTTCCTCTAGTCCTGTCTATTTGTTGGTGCAGAAGAAATGGCAAACCGCCAAGTGGGCACTGGCAAATCCTGCAGCTCATCCCCCTTATCCCAATAGATTTGCCAAATAAAACATGAGCTGTCCAGTTAAAATTGAATTTCTGATGAACAATGAATACTTTTTAGTAGAAATATGTACCAAATATTGCAAGTTTAATCCTCCCCCCTAACCTCCCCCCCCTCCCCCCCGCAATAAATCTGACAACTCTCTCTAAACCCCAGCCATTTCCTGTTTTCACTTTTAAGCCTTTATTTACAGAGTGCTTTGGGGATCTCTGTTCAGCAGAAGGGTGTCGGTCTCACTTCTGAGTGGATTGTGCTGGAGAGCCGCCATCTTTCAGAGGAAGAGGCCTAACAGTTCCCCCTTCTGGAAGATCTAGGATCACCTTGGAAGGGGAACTAAGGAATGTTGGGAAGAATGTGGAGCCAGGGGTGTGGGGAAGATCTGGCTTCTGGTCCCAGCTCTGCTTTTGGCTAAATAATCTTGGACAAATTACTTTGCCCCTGGGGCCTCTTTTTCTTTACCTTGTAAAAGAGAGGGATTGAACGGAGGGATCTGAAGTCTCTGAGTGGGGAAGGCTGGGAAGAAAGTTCCACTGGGGACGTGGAGAATGGGGCTGCTGAGAGGAGCCAGAGTGAAGGCAGGACTTCCCTTCTTCCCCACCCTCTTGTCGCTCTGCAAATGTGGGGCAGAATAAAGGGCGACTGGTATGAGAGAGCCTTGCATGCTACTGAGCTTGCGCACCTTCGCTTTAACACAAAATGGGCCTGACATGCTGGTGTTTTAAGCCTTGATGGAAAGTTCTCTCTCACACCAGAGTGTGAGGCGGGGCAGCTCAGGGTACACCTCCTCCCATTTACCCACTGACCTGCACATGGTGCCAGGGGGCCATGTTTGCAAGAGACCTTGAGGGTGTGGCTCTCTGGTTGGCTTCGAAAGCAGAGGTACAGTGTGCCAGGGTCTGACCTACTCCCTCTGTGGGGACACCAGTCAGGAAACGGCATGGCTGCTGAGCCCCAAGCCTCCTACTGACACAGGCTGGTTAGCACAATCCTCATCAGTAATCCAGGGACTCCTGAAGGGGCGGCGACACCAGAAACAGATGCCTCCGCCAACAGACATAAACCGAGAGCCCATGGAAGAAAGCTCTAAAAGGCCCCTGCGGGCTTGCAGTTGGAAGGAGAAGGAAACATGAGAATTGCCAGACCCCATCTTGAGCTTGAGCATCAGAAAAGGACAAAGAGCCTCAAAAGAAAACACATGACTTAGGTCAGCCTGTGGAAATCATTTTAGTGGCCCTGCGCGGCAGTGGGAAAGCCAGCTTGACAAATCGGCGTTGTCATTTAATGTTTTGTAACATGAATAACGGGAGAGACAAACTACGCCCGTGTTCACGGGGAGCCTGGCATTTTAAAAATACCTGGCTCTGCTGACTTTCGTTTCAGCCAGGGAGAACTTACTGGCAGATTCAGTCCCCCTGTGCAAGACATCACGGGGAACAAATGCGAATAGTAACATCTTACACTTGGCCAGGGATTTTTATGATACAAGAACTTTTACCTCATTATAATCCTTTAAGGTGGATGAGTTAATATTATAACCACTTAAATGATGCAGGAACTCTCTAAGGGTGATCAGTTAAGCACAGGAATAGCAAACTTGTGATAGCTATGTTGACATCTCCCCCCACCCCCTGGTCCATGGCAGACATCACCGATTAATTATGGCATTCTTGACTGATGAACTGATTGTGATCTCAGAATCCTTCTCTTTAAACATTTTTTCAAAAGTGGAGGCATAATTTATATATAGTAACATGCACAGAGTTTAAATGCTCCGTGTAATAAAATCTGACAATCGTATACACCTTTGTCACCACCACACAAAACAAAATATGGAACATTTTCATCATCCCAGAAAGTTCTCTCATGCCATGTTCTGGTCAGTGTCGCCCCACCCACCAGACCATCATTACTCAGGTCAAGAAGCCACTGGCCTGAATTTCCTTGCCATATCCTGCCAGAATTCACCAAGGAAGGTTTATGGTTTAAAAAAAAAGAAAGAAAAATATGATGAAAATATAAACCTGCTTGATGGGGGAGAGGAGGTTTGGGACTTTGTTCTGCTGAGCAAAGCTGTGGTTTGCTCCCATTTTGAAGTGTTTAGGACATGGAAATGCCACAGAAGGTCAGCCTACATCTGTAGCTGCGGATTCAGGACCACCAGAGAGACTCTTCAGATCAAGAGAAGGCTGGGAAGCCAAGTCCATAGATGAGGGGATACCTCTGCTGAGGAGAGAGAAGCAGGTATCCAGAACATTCGTTCGTTCATTTGTTCGTTCGTTCATTCATTCATTCCTCAAAGATCTACAATGCACCAAACACTGTGCCAAGCACTGGAGGAAAAAAAAGGATGAATAAGACAGATTGATGATTCATAAATAAATTAAGTAACACATGAAAGAAAGCATGGCGCATTCAATTGGCTTTATACTCTAGGAATTTTTAAATTAAATGAATTCTTGGAATCCAAACACAGAGCATCAACTGGCCCTTGATGTCTGGACAGTTTATGTGGCAGGTACTTCAAGTGCAATAAGAGCCTGAAAAAATTCAGCCCCACATAAATTTTGAGGCGTTTTCCAGAGGATAAGAAAGAAAGGATTGTAGGGAGAGCAGTGCAAGCAAAATGACTTAAGTTCTTTCACTCACTCCATTTTTTCCTTTGGTCATGCGGTGACTGTTTGTTGAGCACCTCCTGTGTGGCCGGCGCTGTGCTAAGCCCTGGAATCATGGCACCATTAGACCCCAGGCCATTTCTGGGTGAACTGGAACTTCCTTTCCTCCCTCTAAATCTTTGCTTCCAATGACTTTTCTGTGAATGCAGCAAGACCAAGTCTCCTCTACGATGCTCTGGCCCCTGTGCAGAGGGCACGATGCACTGTTCCATCTGGAGAAGAGTGCCTTGTTTTCCTCATTAGTGGGTATTTCTGAAGCACCAGCTTGGTTCTGGAGCTTTCCTGGGTAGTGTGCTCAGTGGTGCTGGGAGCTGCCCCAAAGAATTAGAGAATCCTTTGTCCTGGACTCTGGGGTGTCATTTTTGCTTAGACTTTGAAAGCGAATGGTGGCTTCTGTATTAGTTTCCTGTTGCTGCTAAAACAAACCACCACACAATGCAATGCACAGTTGTTATCGTGTAGTTCTGGAGGTCAGTTTGAAACGGGTCTCACTGAGCTAAAATCAGGGCTGTGTCATTTCTGGAGGCTCCCGGGAAGAATCTGTCCCTTTGCTTTTTCCAGTTTCCAGAGGCTGCCTGCATTCCTTGGCTGCGACCCCTTCCTCCACCTCCAGTCAGCAACGCTGGGCAGAGTCCTCCTTATGCTGCCCTTTCTCTGGCTCTCCCTTTTGAGTCCTTCTTCTATTTATAAGGAGCCTTGTGATTACACTGTGCCTTCCCAGACAATCCAGGAAAGTCTCCCTGTTTTAGGCATCTGATTAGCAACCTTATTTCCCCTTTGCCATTTAACCTAATCTTAGCCATAGGTTCCAGGGATTAGGACATAGACACCTTCAAGGGGCATTATTCGGCCCACCACAGATTCTTTACATTTTTTTTCTATTTTTCTGGTTTCTCTTAGTAGTTTTTCAAATTACACCGGTGAGGTTGGTTGATAAATTTCAAATCTCATTGGGCACCTACAGCACTGAGAGAAGCCCAAGGCCTGCTTAGGGCTACCAAGAAGACCAGTCAGGGTTAAATCTATTCACTCATTTCCAACGTGTAGAATAATATGTCAAGTAGAAAAAGCAAGATAGAAGAGAGAATGTATAGTACAATTTCAATCTCATAAAAGTTTATTTTATAGATGAGTAATGGTGGTGGAAAGATTGGAAGGGAATACATTAAAATTCTAAGAACAGTGGTATCAGGATGTTGGGCATAGATTACAGATAGTTTTTTTTCTTCTTTTTTGTATAACATAAAACATCTCAGTAATATGGTTAGATTATATTTGTAAATGAAAAATATGTTAAAAATTATTCTATTACACCCACCATCTTCTCATACATATTTTTCTATTCCTTCCCCAACATCAGCTTGGACCACAAACCACCATCCAAAAGTTACTCTAAACATAAAAGGAGACAGAAGGGAGCCGGGAGGGGAGATTCTGGGATGACGCAGAAATAAACAACAGCAGGAGGCTGGCTGTGACGGCTTCAGACCGCTCAGGCCTGCCTTGGCTTTGCCAACCAACCCCAGCTTCTGGTTTCTTCTAAACTGAATAATTAGTGGGCATGGTGTGGCCTCTTATCCCTGCTCTACGGGGAGTGCTTCCTTTGATGAGGGACTTGCTCCTGCTGGTCACTTTCCTGGTGCCCACCAGGCGTCTGTAGGCAGAGGGGTAGAGAGGACCCCCTGCACCTGTCCCCATCCCTGAACTGGTTGTCATGTCACCCACCCTGGTGCTGGCAGGCAAGGGTTTTCAGAGGATGGAAGCACCTGGTGCAGGCTGTGCTCCCACCCAGCAGCTACGGGGTGGCAGGTGCCAGAGTCCCCAGGAAGCCAAGAAAGGCCCAGACAGCCAGCTGCCATCTTACCCCAGAGGGTGGCCAGCCTTTGTGTGCACCAGTTGACAGAGGGGTGAAGAGAGAACCCCAGAAACCCCAGGGCTGGCAGGCAAAGCCCTCCACACTTTGAGCCCACCCACTTCTGGTACAATTCTAGCTAAGACTACACCTCTCTAATCACCCTGCTTTCCCTGCCTGTTTTCCCCTCTAAGCTTTTACTCACCCATGCCTACAAGGTCCCTTCCCACCTATTTTTACCACAAGATTCAGCTCAAATTCTATCTCCTCCAAGACACCACGCTATCAATCACAATCTCGACCTTCTTTATACTTCGCCAGCATATTAATAAATTATAGTCTAGCCCGGCAGGTGTGGCCCAGTGATTGTGTGTTGACCTATGAACCAGGAGGTCATAGTTCAATTCCCATCAGGGCACATGCCCTGGTTGGGGGCTCAATCCCCAGTGTGGGGTGTGCAGGAGGCAGCCGATCAATGATTCTCTCTCATCATTGATGTTTCTATCTCTCTCTCCCTCTCCCTTCCTCTCTGACATCAATAAAAATTATATTAAAAAAAAGAAGAAGAAGAGTGGTTTTAACTTTGGGAATGTTTGAACAATGTCCTTCTGTTAAAAAAGAAAACAAAACAACAAAAAACCAAGCAACATATCTGTGTGTATTTAGAAGTGTGAGAACTCTGACATCTAATCTCTTGACTTAGCATTTATCTTCGCTCATTAGGAAGTTAGGTCATCAAGAGAGTTGAAGAGTAGGTGTATGTTGAGCTATAAAACCCAGATGTATTGCCACATGCATCTCATTAGATTCATATATAGAACTGGAGGTGATGTAAGATGCTTTAAAAATTTAATTGCGCCTCCTGTGATAGCCTCGATTCTCACAGGTCTGAATGAAGCCTACATTTTGTAGGTTTCCTGATTCACAGTTCAGCAGTATAGATTCTTCTGTAAGCAGCACTACTTTATCCACTTGCCATCTCCCCACTCTCCCCTCCCCATTTTGGCTCTTTTACTCCGAGCATGGTGTTTTTAACTCTTGAACTATGCTACTTGGACAAAGAAATACTGACCCTGCAGAACAGATGGTGTGGGCACTGGTGGGCTCAGTTTACAGTGGTTCCAGTCCATTTCCCTTCCTGATCCCACCTGGCTCTGCAGCGTCAACCTTGCTCTCTCTTTCACTGTCTGCCTCCTTCAAGGTCACAGATTTTTATTTTCTTTTAAAAATTCCCTGACTTACCTACTCTCGAGTTCTGGTGTGATTACCTACCTAGTTGCATAATCTCGAGTGAATTACTCAAACTTTCTGTGCTTCAATTTCCTCATCTCTAAAATGGGATAATAATAGTATGTACCCCCGGTATTCATAGAAAGCATACATGAATCATACATGGAAAGCACTTAGAACAGTGGCAGGAACATAGTAAATACTCAAATATGTTAATGATCATTGGTATTTTTATTTGTGAATGTTATTTTGTAACCTGCTTTTAAAAAATATGCGGTGAATATTTTCTCATGCTATTCATGACTAATACATGACTTTATTGCCATTCTCTGACTATATCATAATTTATTTAATCAATGTTCTATTGTCAGACATTTATTATTTTCAATATTTTGTGTAATAATTAGTAACCCTGTAGTAAACATTCTTGTGCATAAATTTCTGGGCACATCTCTGATTATTTCCTAAGGCAAATTACTAAAAGTAGAATGATGAATCAACGAGTATCAGCCCTTTTTCAGGCTTTTGCCTAAATGCCTTGCAGATATGTCATGTGAATTTGTGCTCCCAAAGCATGAGACGGCTCATTTCCCCACAGCCTTTCCAGCACCGGACATTATGGTTTCAAAACTTTCTTGCCAGTCTGTAGTTTTCATAGTCAGATGGTGTGCACTGTAGTTTCCAAAGCTCTCCTCTTCTGAGATTTTCATTTTTTAAAAATCTCAAGCCCCTTTTGAGTTACTTTTCTGTAATTTTAATCTATGAAGTCTCTATCAGAAACTCCTGCCCTGTTACTATTCCTAACCTTTCCTTTCTGATTTCTTCACACCATTTCTCTTCTACCTGTTGGGAGTTAGACTATAGTGTTGTGTTTGGGTCAGGTATGTTATAAATCTAGTAGATAAATACTATCGGAAGACAGGAACTTGCTTTTTTTCATTGAGCCCAATCTAACAAAAAATGAAGCAGTTCCATAAAAGACTCATCTCCTTGATAGCAATAAGATACTTGTTGCCCCAAATATTTAAGCCATATAGACAAGCGTCTGACGGCTGTGGAAGGGATTCTTCTCTGGCCGTAAGTTGACCTACATATCAGTGTCCAACTAGGAAAACAGAACCCTCCAAATCTGTAAACATAGAAGAAATGTAATTCTGGGAATTGGTTACCCAGGTGGTTAAAAGCCAAAACGATGATGAGGTAACACTGAGATTCATAACATTAGGAAGCCAGCACCACCCTTAAACTGAGGACAGAGGGAGAGCAGGTGGGGTCACCTGGAGGAACCTGGAGCCACAGTGGGCCTGTCTGTTGGGAGCTGGACCACAGAGGTGATGCAGGTGCTTCTCACCACCACAGGTAGAACGGGAGGGGAGAAAGACATACCCTGGCTTTTCTCTTCTCCTTCTCTGATCTCCTTCCAATGTATTCCATTGGCAAATTCAGTGAAAAGCCAGTGGACCCAGCTGTCTGTAGAATTATATGTAGTGGGCACTGGTGGGCTCAGTTTACAGTGGTTCTAGTCCATTTCCCTCCCTGATCCCACCTGGCTCTGCAGCGTGGGATCACTTACATCGCCTCATTCAGGCCTCGTGACAGTTGTGTGTGGCAGAGAGTGCCGAGATACGGTCGGGTTTAGAGGTGAAGGAATGGAGGCTGAGGGTTGCCTGCCTTCCCTGGGATCTGAGAAGGACTTAGACCTAAAGGTACAGGTGGATTTCTAGCCACGCAGGCCCAGCGCCTTCCCCGACCCCCGACAGTGCTCTGCCTACCTGTCTCCTTCCGTGAGCCAGGATGGCTTCTCCGAGGTCCCGCAGCGTGAGCAGCTTCGGACCCGGCCTTTTCCCGTGGCCTTTGGGGCGCCAGGGGCCTTTTCTCCTCTCTCCGGGCGTCCATGCTGATAGGGCTAAACCTTCTGAGTAGAGGATCAGGACTCCCTTTCTGGTGCTGAAAGTTTTAGGGAGTACGAGGCTCCATGTGTGCTGGGTGGGGTCGCCCTTATGCTGCGGTTTGCAGACCAGGACATAATCTTCTGGAGACTTCCAGTTCAAGTAATCCTGCAACGGAAAGCAACCACCTTGATCGATTCACTGTGGACAGCACATGAAAAATTTTTCTTTTAAATTATATTTTTATTGCTTCTAGAGAGGAAGGGAGAGGGAGAGGGAGTTAGAAACAGCAATAATGACAGAGAATCATTGATCGGCTGCCTCCTGCACGCCCCCTGCTCGGGATGGAGCCTGCAACCCGGGCACGTGCCCAGATCGAGAATCGAACCATGACCTCCTGGCTCGTAGGTGGACGTTCAACCACTGAGCCACACCGGTTGGGCTGGACAGCACTTTTATAGCACATACTGCTTGTGCAAGGTGTTGGACATTTTTTTAAGTGATTGGTTTTCTCCGAGCTGCTCACATGGTGCACAAAACACAGTCACTCTTCTGAGCAACTGATTTCACATCTCAGAATTAGTAGGACCCAGGGCACGGTCCTGTTTTACTCCATATGACTTTCAGGGGAACTACTCGTGCCTAGAGGCTTAAATAGGGTAGAGTTAGGTTACAGGCCAGTTAGTTTCTTGGTATGCAAGTAAGTCGTCAGAATTATCAAGGGCAGCAGATAACTTTGAAATTAGACCTGGACTAGCTGGCAGTTTAAAGAGGAGAACGCCATTCCAACCCATCACTCCCGCTGGACACAGGGAGAATTTCTATGCATTCCAGATGCATTGTAACTTTATCTAATTTGGCTATTTTGGAGCCTATAAAATAGTTACATATCTTGTAAAAGAGTAAATGCCATTGTCCACAGAGGTTCTTTGAAACTCTATATATGTCTTTTAATATAGCAAAGGTCAGATATCATGACAAACTACCATGACAATGGAAATCTCGGTATGAGCCAAATTTTTCAAAATACCCCCAATGGAATTTTTATTCTTGGCAGAATTCAACGAAGTAAAATTGCAGTACAACAAGGGAATTTTGCCACTACTTTAAAATGAAAAAAAAAAATTTTTTTTTGGCCTGTATTAAATCTGAGTCCTGTGGGTTGAATTCCAGCAAGTTCAAGGAAGCCATTGAAATGACAAGAACACACACAGCCTTCCGACCACAGAGCACAACTCTAAAAACCAGAGAGACATCAGCTTGCCTAGAACCCAGGTGGAGATTCTGGTCTTGAACCAAACCATCCGAATTCTAGACAATCTGGAAACTCCATCAGCCTAAAGCAAACGAGGCTGTAGGTCGGCGTGCAGGAGGAAGCAAGGGGGTCCCCGGGGCAACCTTGGGGTGTCAGGCAAACCACCTTATTTTCTTGAGTTTCACCAAGCAGGGAAGATCTGCCACTGACCCCCACCACCTCACCAATCAAACAAACCCAAACACGCATGGCTCAGCTCCAGATGGAAAAAGAGAGCATTCCTCCCGCACTGCCCCCCACCCCCACCCCCACTCCCAATATGCCCTGATTCCGCTGTAAAACTCACCTCTGGTTCAAAATAGACTTCTACCTTCTGTTTGTTCTGGACCCACTTGCCATGTCCCCGGCTCAGGGGAGAGAGCGGGAACATGTTTTCCCTCTGACCACCCTTCTCAAGGGCAGTTCATCTTGGGTTTGAAGGCTGAAAACTGGTCACACCTCAAGATTTCCTGAGCGCAGCAGGGAGCCTGAGGAGACCACAAACACTGGGCCTTTTATGAAATGCATTTCCCCCTCATACAGCAGCTTCTTAGTAACAGCCGGCCACACAGTTTAGACAGTGTGTGTCTTTGTCGGGAGAAAAAATAAATCGCAAACCCAAACTCCTCAAGCCCCCGATTGTCTACTTTCTGGGCAACCTCTCTCTCCCCTTTGCCTGTGGCCTTGTTGTCCCTGGTCCGGTTGCTCTGTTACCAGCGCACCTACAGATCCGGCCACCACACCATCCTTCTCACTGCAGTGGAGGTTGTTTCCTGGTTGCTATGGCAGCGCAGGGAAATGCAGTCCCGTAAACCAGCCCAGGCAAGGCGGAGACTGCCAGGGCAGTGTTCACACACTGGGAGAGGGAGGGTCAAACGGGCATTGAAGGGGCCAGGCTCAGATTTCAAGTCCTGACAGGGGGAGGGATGAGGGCATGCTGAGATATTTTTTCTGTTATCACAGCACTCAGCTTGTTTTTAGAGTGTCTTCTTCCTTCTCCTGATGCCAGAGCCTCTCACTGTCCACCCACCGTGAGTAAAGTCAGAGGAGTCACCACGGTCACCTAAAGCGACCTGTGAAGCTTTCCTTGGCTGAGCTCCAGCACCTCTTCCCCTGGACATGAGGCCCTTTATGGTCGTTGCTGCTTTGCACGAGTGAGTGTGAGATCCCGGGACTCTCCAGAGGGCTTTGCATACCTGCTTACCACCCAGGTGAATGCCATCTCCAAAGAGGAGCTACTTGGGAGGGACAATTGGGGGGCATTGGGTTGCCACAATGGCTGGAGGCCAATACTGGCACTGAGCAAGCAGGGGCCTGGGATGCTGGAGGCTCTGTGGTGTGTGAGACTGCTCCACGTAATGAAGAATCGTCCGACTCTGAATGCCAGTAGCATCCGTTGTGAGAAGCACTGCTATGGCCTAGGCTGCTTGGCTCTCCTGGATGCTGACACTGTGAGGACAGGAGGCGGGGGTGGGGGGTGGGAGTGTCAGGGAACAAAAAGATGCCTTTGCTGTGATCTGTGGCCCTGCTTTGGCCTGTCATCTGTCAGCTGAACCTCCATGGCAGCCTGTGGGAGTGTCCCCCGCTGACCTGCACGAAGAAGTCTAAGAGGCCGCGGGCCCAGTTACCTTTTAGATCTCCCTCTGTGGCTCGGCCTTTCCCAGGAAGCAGGCTCAAGCCTCCTGAGGAAGAAATGGAGGTCATGCTGTATAATCAGGTTGGGTTCATCATCAGGAATCAAGACAGTGAACATAGAGGCTCAAAACTTTATTGTGGAATTTAGTCAAAACCACAATAAATACAATTTCAACATCCATTAGGATGGCTATTATGGAAAACAACAACACCCCCCCCCCCAAAAAAAGAAAATACCCAAAAAAAACAACTACAGAAAAGAACAAGTGTTGGGGAGGACAGGGAGAAATTGGGACCCTTGTGCACTGTTGGTGGGAATGTAAAATGGTGTAACCGCTGTGAAAAGCAAATAGTTTGGCAGTTCCTCAAAAAAGTTAAAAGGCTGGTGTGGCTCAGTTGGTTGAGCATCATCCTGTGCACTCAAAGGTTGCCGGTTCCATTCCCAGTCAGGTTTGGGGTTTGGTCTCTGGATGGGAGGCAACTGATCAACACTTCTCACATCAGTGTTTCTCTCTCTCTCTCTCTCCCTGAAAAATCAATAAAAATACATTTAAAAAAATTAAACATAGAGGTATGATATGATCCAGCAATTTCACTTCACAATTCCACTTCTGGGTATATAACCCCAAAGCAGTGAAATCAGGGATTCAAACAGATACTCGAACACCCAAGTTTAGAGCAGCATTCTTCACAATAGCCCAAACATGAAAACAATTCGGGTGTCCAACGACAGATGAATGCATGAACAAAATCAATGTACACATACAATGGAATATTATTATTATTTTATATTTTTTATTAATTTCAGAGAGGGAGGGAGAGGGAGATAGAAACACCAATGATGAGAGAGAATTATTGATCAAGTGCCTCCTGCATGCCCCACACTGAGGATCGAGCCTGCAACCTGGGCATATGCCTTTGACCAGAATTGAACCTGGGACCCTTCAGTGTGCAGGCCAATGCTCTATCCACTGAGCCAAACTGGCTAGGGCTAATGGGATATTATTTAGTCTGGAAAAGAATTTCTCCCATTCTCTCCAGGGGAAATTCATTCTCTGAGACCACCTGATTTGGAAATGTGAATTCACCCATAAAAAGGTCATCCAGGAAGTGACCTTTCTGAGTCTAAGCTGAGTGAACATCTCACCTGGGACAATACTCAGGTGCTCATCTCTCCCTCCTTTCCCCCCAACCCCCCCCCCACCCCCAAACACTGTGGCAAGGCTACCAGGCCTCTAGGGTAATATATGAGCAGCCAGACCATAGCCCATCTCGGGCCTCTCCTAAACTGTCGTGTTTACATCCACACTGGTTAATATGGACAATGAACAGATGTACAGATCAATTAATAGACAGTTAAAAGCATTTACTCAGTCCCCACAGCAGTTTATGGAAAGTGCATTTAGAAAGCAATCGAGATTATTGCTATTCTAAAGTGCTTGGGGACCCCAGATGAAAGGCCCCTGTAACTGGAAAGTATTTATAACTCAAGAAGAAATCCTCCACACCCACCTCCTGGCGTGCCTGACTGTCAGCCCATGCAGCCTGTCTGTTTAAATTGCGCTGTAAATCCTATAGGGTGGAGACTGTGTTGTTATCCCTTGTAAAGCATCATGAATAACCATGGAGCTCTAAATAAATAGGAACCACATGGAACAAAGGAAAGAGATGTTCCTTTGGCCATGTCCCCACTGCATAGTCAACAGCCATGTCCGCACTGCATCCAGGAATTCGTCCCTTGCTCCAAAGTGCTTGGGGTCAATGGATGCTCCTCTGGGGAAGTGGCTGATGGGATAGTATCAGGATTCTCAGCCCCTTTTATTATTTATTTATTTATTTATTTATTTAATCCTCACCCGAGGATATTTTTTCTTTTTTAAAAAATTTCTTTATTGATTAAGTTATTACATGTGTGTCCTTATCCCAACATTACCCCTCCATCCCCCCCACTCATGCCCTCACCCCCCTGGTGTCTGTGTCCATTGGTTAGGCCTATATGCATGCATATAAGTCCTTTGGTTGATCTCTCCCCCTGGCCCACACCCTCCCCTACCTTCCCTCTGAGGTTTGATATATCTGATCGATGTTTCTCTGTCTCTGGATCTGTTTTTGTTCATCAGTTTATGTTGTTCATTATATCCCACAAATGAGTGAGATCATGTGATATTTATCTTTCTCTGACTGGCTTATTTCACTTAGCATAATGCTCTCCAGTTTCATCCATGCTGTTGCAAATGGTAAGAACTCCTTTTTTTTACCACAGCGTAGTATTCCATTGTGTAGATGTACCACAGTTTTTTAATCCACTCATCTGCTGATGGACACTTAGGCTGTTTCCAAATCTTAGCTATGGTGAATTGTGCTGCTATGAACACAGGGGTGCATATATCATTTCTAATTGGTGTTTCTTCCATTGATTTTTAGGAGAGTAGAAGAGAGAGGGAAAGGCAGAAACATCAAGGTGAGAGAAACACATCGATCGGTTGCCACCTGCACGAGCCCCGACCAGGGCCCGGGCCAGGAAGGAGCCTGCAACCAAGGTACGTGCCCTTGACCAGAATCGAACCCAGGACCCTTTGGTCCCAGGCCGATGCTCTATCCACTGAGCCAAACCGGCTAGGGCTCTCAGCCACTTGTAAAGAGCAGTGTGAACGTGTCTTCTAGGAATTGTGTCCACCTGCAGGGAAGTCTACAAGAAGAGTCGTTGGTACCGTCCTTGTTACCCAAGAGGAACGGTCAGTGCACAGAGAGGCATAATGGTTTGCACAAGCCCCCGAGCGAACCAGAGGTGAAACGGGACCTTGTCCAAATTTGGTCCAGCCTGCTGTTCATCCCACTTCTGCAACAGAGTAGTAGCATCCATTCATACGACGCTACGTCGTGGTTAATACCCAGCCGTGAACAAGCTGTGTGACCGAAGCCACCACAGTGCCCTCTTCAGCCACGAAGCTGGTGACTGGACACTGGGCCTGGGTCTGGCTACTGGTCGGCTCAAAACAGTCTCCTCACCCTTCTTCTCCTCACCTCACCTTGCAAATCTAGCTGCAAGGCGGTTTAGGAAAGCACATGTTCAGCTTCCTAACCTCCTGCACAGGAGGGAAGGTGGAATGAAGGTCGATAGAGCCATCCATGGTTATCTACCATAAGCACCAAAGACGGACAAGTTGTTTGAGAAAGTCAAAACAAAGAATTTTTAAAAATATGGGCGTGTATGTGACAATCAGCATCCCCTCCCATGATTAAGACGCTTCCCATTTGCTTGTGTTCTATACTCCCAACTGGACTGTAAGTCTCTGGAAGGTAAGGACTAGATCCTGTAAGTCTTGGCACCTTGCATCGCATTACAGCTGCATACAGACTTGTTGCTTTCTTTTTCACATGCCCAGAGAAATGTGTACTGATCTTGGAGCCAGTATGCAAGATACATGAAAGAAGAGAATTATGTCAAAGCCTGTTTTAGCAGCTGGTAGTTTGCTGATAGTACAAAGCTTAGAGCCACAGGTTAAAGACTCTGATTAATGAAAACTCGATTTTCAAAGACCGGAAGGGCACCAAGAGAATTAGCGTGAAAGATGCAGCCTTCTGAACTCGCTGGATGCTTCCAGACTCTCGGAGGACGAGTTCCTTGGCTTGTTCAGAGACGAGGGCTCATTTCTCATGAGGCCAGGTCAAGTTTGAAAGAAAAGGCGAACGGCAATAAAGAATACTCTGGAATCATAGCAAGGGAGAAAGTGGCCTGACGGCTCTCTGCTTCCTTCCTCTCCCCAAGAATAAATTATGAC